TTGCTTTATGAATCCCTGGAGGCAGTTATATATCCCAGACTTGGTTGGATTGTTGTGCCTTTTGGGGAATTGTCTCCCCCAACATTTGGTAGCCACCAGGTTTTCTGAGCCTCATGGACTATGGACAACTGGTCTCAATCCCTAAGCTGCATGTACCAGTGTGTTAACCACCTCAAGGCCCTATAAAAGACCTCATTTCTAGTCTTGGACAAAGGACTTCTCTCTTATGTCTACTGTCCCTTTCTTCTTCCTTCACCATCATAGGAAGGTCTGATAATAATGCTATCTCCCAATTCCAGGATCTGTTCAAATTCAAGGTCTAATGTTGCTACTAGAGAAAAAGGAACCTTGGCCAAATATAATTAGGACTTAGGGCTCTTCATAGATTCTTCAGTGTATTCAACTATGGATTCAGACATAGCTTTGGAAGTGGCAAGCCACCTGTGCTGACTCTGCAGGTGCTACATGTGGCTGCCATCTCTCCCTTCTGGCCTCTGTGCTCCATTGTCTTCCCTCTTTAGACCTGATATGTCTGATTAGCTTTCTGTGTACACAATTGGGAAGTAGCTCACAACCCCCCAGTAGACCTTTCAGATGTACAACACATCATTCAAAGAGGAGTAATGTAAGTGGATCTCTTGGGGCCAAGTATTCCTTTCTGCACCAGTTGACTGCATCCAAAGGTGGGCTCTTTGGATGCCTTTTCTGGGGGAGCTCTGGACAACCACCATGCCTGTCAAGGGTCCCCAGCGTGGGCTGAGGGCAGGCAGTGTTGGGTGGTGAGGGGAAGGGTTGAGCTCTCACCACCCTGGGTCTTTCAGGGCGGGTAGCAGCTCAGAACATGCTGGCACAGGAGGCGGAGATCAACACGGTACCCTATCTGTGGACTGCCATGTTCGGCAAGAGCCTGCGCTACGCGGGTAACTAAAAGCCTGTCCTGGGGATGGGGCATAGCCTATAGCATTTAGGGGGTAGGGACTGAAGGTGCTTCGGGATTAAAGTGTGGGGGTTGGGTCCAATGTGAACTAAGAATGGGCAAACAAGAGCTGGCTTGGCACAGGTGTGGTTGTGTACTGTAATCCCAGCAGTCTGGAGGCTAAAATGGGAAGATCAGGAACTGGAGGCCAATTTGTATTAAATGTTGAGACTTAGGTGGTGGGGCTAGGAACTACTGAGGAGGCGTAGAGGGTTAGTAAAATGGCTCAATGAGTGAGTTCTTGCTGCCAAGCTGATGATCTAAGTTTGATTCCCAGGACCCATATAGTGCAAGTTGTCCTCTGACCTCCATATGTGCATGTGCGCACACACATACACAAACAAAATAAATACATGTAATAAAAAAAGAGTAGGAGTAGGAGCCAGGCATGGTGACATAGAACTTTAATCCCAGCACTCAGGAGGCAGAGGCAAACAGATCTCTGAGTTCCAGGTCAGCCTGATCTACAGAGTAAGTTCTAGGACATCCAGGGCTACACAGAGATCCCTGTCTTAAAAAGCCAAGAGAGGTGGGGAGGGAGGTTGGTTGTTTAGACAGGAGTTAGGAGGGCAGGCTAGGGAGCCTATGAAGACTCTGTCCCCTTCCCCAATTCACATGGGCACCCTCCCACAGGCTACGGAGAAGGCTTCGATGATGTCATCATTCAGGGGGATCTGGAGGAGCTGAAGTTTGTGGCTTTTTATACCAAGTGAGAGCAATGGGATGCAATGGGAGCATGGAACAGCGGGAGTGCTGTCGGGAATGGATAGTGTTAGCAAAACAGGAGGGGCTTGGCTGAAAGGCAAGTGAATGGCAATGGGAGTCATAGCTGGGCAGGAGACATTACAAAGGAAAGACGAGGAAGCAGTAACAATCCTTCCATGCGTCAAACAATACTATGTCTTCTGGATATTTCTTTGAGGTGAGCGTTGACACCGAAGGGTAGGTATTTACAACGAGAAAAGGTAATGCTAAGGCTGGGCCCATCCCTGAGCTGTGCTAAGGGCTGGAGCTTCCTACAGCAGCTGATTTTGCTGAGACCAATGGAGGGCTGGGTGTTCAGGACATCCTGTTCCTTCCCAGCACACCAGGTGGATTGAAGGGTGTTGGGATCTTTAAGAAGGACCACTGCTGCTAGTGGTCCTCAGGCTCAGGCTTCTTCTCTCTATAGAGGTGATGAAGTGATTGCTGTGGCCAGCATGAACTACGATCCCATCGTATCCAAGGTGGCTGAGGTGCTGGCCTCAGGTCGAGCCATCCGGAAGCGGGAGGTGGAGTGAGTGCGGGTGTGGGAGGTTTTGGGGTTATGTGTGTGGGTGTCCTGTGTAGGATCTATTCAAGTTATCTTTGCAGCCTGTTGCCCCATAGTCCTGTAGAGCTCTTCTCCTCACTTCTAGTTCCCATGGCTTCTGGGTAAGATGGGGGATCAATTTGTGGTTTAGAAGCTGACAGGATGTGTTCACAGGGAGACAAGTGTATGTCCCAGAGGGGAGCCATTCCTGTTGGGTGGAGGCAAAGCCCACTACTTTGAGTGAGCCGAGCCTGGAACTTCTGACCAATGTGATTTGTGCTAAGCTTGGCAGAAGCCAGGTGGGGAAACAGTGATGTTCCCAGATGTGCTGTACATAGAGAGGTGGGTAGTTTCCTGACATCTGGAGGCAGTGGACACTAGCCATTACCTTCATCCCAGCATGGTGCCAATGAGTCCCCCATAGCTTGACCTGTGTACAGAGAACGTCCAGGACCAGGGACAGGGCAGAGGTGATTTAGGGGCCGAAGGCTATGTGACAGGTGGAAACAGTGAAGACTCAGAGTGGACCTGATAAATGACATGCTCATGCTTTCTTTGGCCTTCTGTTTTTCCCTCTTGCCTTCACAAAGGTTGTTTATGCTGCACAGCAAGTACGTGTGTTCTGTCTTTTCTGTTGACTGTTTTGAGCCTTTCTTCCCCCAGTCCAATGATTGAGCCCTCCTACCCTGCCCAAGTCCATTCCCTACGGGATACCATGCTTTGACACAGATCAGTTCCTGCTGCTGTCTTTGAGTCATTTGTTCATGTTGCCTAGAGTGGGGAACCTACCCTCTTCTGTCTTGACCCATTCTCCTCTTATTCCTGCAGAACCGGTGACATGTCTTGGCTCACAGGGAAAGGATCCTGAGCTTTCATGTGATGTGGACTTGGGCAGGCCGCTGGGGGTACCAAGGTCAGAGACCAAGTCCTGGGGCAAGTGCCAATCTCCAATTTCCCAGGATCCCCCAGGGTGGAATCTGAGTCCTCCCAAGACTTGCCTTCAACTGTCTGCCTCTGCCCAAGAGAGGCTACTGCTGCCTCCATAAGATGGTCCATTCCCAAGGCCTCAGCTGTCACTGACAGCTGGTTTTAGAAGAAGGACAGGCTCTGCCTGTGTCCTCTATTAGGACTGTTTTCCCACAAGACCCTGCAATATTACTAAAAATTAAAACAGATGTTTCTACAGATCTGTGTCCCAGTGTAATTGGGCCAATACTTAAGAGGGAGTGCCAGGTATGATGTGACAAATCTGTAATAGCAGCGCTCAAGGCAGATGCGGGGGGATCAGAATTTTGAGTACATCATGAGCTACATGAGATCTTGTTTTAAGATGAAGATGGAGATATGGCTGTGTGGTTAAGTGCGTTGTCTGTCCTTCCAAAGGACCTGGGTTCAATTCCCAGCACCCACATGGCAGCTTACAACTCTCTGCAACTCCAGTGTCCATGGATTCTGAGACTTTCATACCAATGCACAGAGAATAAAATGAAAACTATTTTAATTTAAAATTAAATTATTTAAAAAAAAAAAAAAAGCTTCAGAAGCCAGAGGCAGCTTTTGTCTTTGCCCACTTAAGAGAGATAGGATCTGGCACTAGAGACAAACTCCATGCTCCTCACAGCATCCTGAGCTGTTGTTATTATCATTTAAAAATCGCAGCTGGGAGGTGGTGATGCATTATTGTTAAAAAAAAAAAAAAAAAAAAAAAAAACAATCAGAGCCAGGCAGTAGTGTTGCACACCTTTAATTCCAGCACTCAGGAGACAGAGGCAGGTGGATCTCTTTGAGTTTGGGGCCAGTTTGGTCTATAGAGTGAGTTCAGGACAGCCACAGCTACACAAAGAAACCCTGTCTACGAAAACAAACACAAACCACCATTTGTTATCCTCACAAATAAAATCACTCAGCTAGATTACAGTAACCACTCAAAACCTAGCCAATCCCACTTTATATATTGCGGTTTTTTGTTTTGTTTTGTTTTTGTAGTTAGGATAGACATTGTGAAGCCGCTCTTGACTCTGCTTCTACTATTTTACATTTATATGGACTTAACACAAAAAGAAAAAAAAAGTTGAGACTAGAAAACCAATTAATTAGCTTTTACCCATTTTCACGACTTCGTGTTTCTTTTTGCCTGAACTTTCTGAATCGTCATTTCACAGGCGAAGAAACGTTTCAGCTGGCATTAGACCACAACTTAAAAACAGTGTGTGGTGTAGCATAGTGGCACAATGCTTGCCAACCATGTCCTGAGTTCAAAGCCCACGGCAGAAAGGGGGAGAAATTGATGAAGTCCCTGCCCTTAAACAGGAAAGGAGAACCCAGAGGTTCCCCTTCATCAAGAGTCCCAGATAATAAGAATGAAACGGGTAGAGGGGAGCGCAAACTTAGGTTGAAGTGCCTGCAAACCGGAAACCTCATTCTGGAGGTGGCAGGGACCTTCCGGGAGATAGCAAAGACCTACTGCAAGGCATGCCGGGAGCGGTAGCCCGCAGTTGCCAGGGGAATACAGGTAGCTTGCTGTGGCCAGGCCGCGTTTCCCAAAAGGGTAAACCCAAGCTGAGACTTGGTCAGAAATGTTTTCCAGAATGTACTGTGCTCACTGATAAGGTGAGGAGCCCCGCCACAAAGACACTCTACAGCCCGCTGAGTCTAGGGGAGCGCGAGGTTTGTCAGGAACACACGCCCAAAGTGCAAACTGGCCGGAAGTGCTACGTCGCCGGCGCAGGGCTTTCTGGGAAGTGTGGTCCTTCGGCTTGGCCGGGGCGGTGGCGGGTAGCCCTGAAATTTGGGCGGCCCATAGGGCCTTCAATCTGGGATGGCCGGATCCGGAGGCTCCGGAGGCCCGACTGGACCTGGTCCCCTGACGGGAGGGGTGCGCTCCAAGGTGGCTCCGAGCGTGGACTTTGACCACAGCTGCTCAGACAGTGTCGAGTACCTGACGCTTAACTTTGGACCCTTTGAAACAGTTCATCGCTGGCGGCGCCTCCCGCCCTGCGACGAATTCGTGGGCGCTCGGTATGGATTCTGAAGGCAGTGGGAGTGGGCACGAGAGCAGAGGTTCCAGGACGAGCCCTAGGGACGAGATCTCATGTGATGTCGTGGAGTATGGATTGGTCGTTTCCGAAGCTGAGTTCCCATAGTAGTGACCCTAGGGAGGCCGACCTCTGGTATTTCTGAGGATCCAGTTTGGGTGTGAGGTATGGGCGGGGAGTCTGAAGGGTCCCCGGTGTGTCAGGCGTCTTTGCTGTCTGATGGAATTGAAGGATCTCTGTATATCTTAGCAGTTGAGAGGTTTTATGCAAACTTAACGTGGCAGCCACCGTGTGTAGTGCCATTCTTGGGGTGCAGCAAAGGGAGCCCCAGTCTCACCCTCCTTCATTCCTTTCTTTCTAGGCGTAGCAAACACACAGTCGTGGCATATAAGGATGCCATCTACGTGTTCGGTGGAGACAACGGGTGAGTTTGCCTGTTTTGATGGAAATGGTGGCAGGGGACAATGACAAAGAGACAGACTATTGTCTGAGAATGGGAGTCATTAGCCATTCCCTGTGAGCTTGTTTCCCACTCTGTATGGTGCACTTGGTTCCCAGGATATTATGAGGAAGATCCTGCCCCTAAAGCCCTCTCACCCCAGTATTCAGATGGCAGCACTTGCTAAGTACATGGAAATAGTTTTGTTTTGAATGAGGAGATACAGCCTTGGAAGAAGCATGTACCCTGTCGTCAGCCCCGCCTGGCACTTTTCTTCTTTCCCTACGCTTCTCTCTAGGCTTTGCCACATGCTTGCTTTGTAACCAGAAGGTATGAAGAACATGTTTTGTTGTTGTTGTACATCTACTTATGTGTGGGGGTGGGGTAGGGGAGATGAGACAACAGCTTTCTCCTACTGTGGGCACCAGGGATTGAACGCAGGTTTCCAGACTTGGTGGCAAGTGCCTTCACTTGCTAAGCCATCTCACTGCCTCCAAAAACAATTTGATTGATGCTGTGCATATCTTGCTTCTGGTAGAGATTTCCCTGTGTTGCTTTAACCTCCTGGAAAGTAACCTTCCTGGAAATGACCTGCTGTTCTGGTGAGCACATCTTCATGCACACAGACTTTTACCAGTTAAGCTGAGGTTATATGTTTGCATATGACTCCCTCCTCTTAGGCCCAGAAGCTGGCGTAAAGCCCAGGAAGGGCACTATAGCCTTGGTCCTGTAAACTGCTTGGGGTAGCTGATCTACAGCAGGTGAGATTTTTCAGGACTCTCTTAGGACATGCAAATTTGGCCTTGATCCTCTGGCATTTAGCTCATCTCCACAGTCCTTTCTCCAAGAGCAGTTGGTGATCCATTTGCAACTGCAAGTCAGAGTGAGTTCCTCCTTAGTTCACGGCTCTGTAAGTTCTATGTGTGAAGCCCAGTCCTCACAGAAATGGCCTACTTGTCTGTGCTTTCTTGTTTCTCAGCCAGCCTTCTGGATACCTTTCATTTGGATTGTTCAAACACCTTGCTGCCCTGCCCTTTGCAACCTGTTCTTCCCTTGCACACTTCTTGATTCCCTTCTAATGTTCCTTATGGATGAGGCCTTTGTGACCTCCCTTGCCTCTTACTAGTTCCATTTGTCCCCCAGCCTGAAAGTGTTCACCATGATCTATTTTCTCTGCTAAGATAAGGCCATATCTTCTCACTTCTCTATACCATTGCCTAGATGTCCTAGTTAGCACGTACTGAGTAAAAGGATGAACCTTAGTAAAAATTCCCCACACCAAAAAAGACTGGTGTCTAGCCTAGGGGTAGTGGGTAGGAAATTAGGATCACTGTCCTCAGCATTTTCTGTAGTAGGTACACAACTGGTTGGTGATAAGCAAAAATGTGTTTGGTGTGCAGTTTGTAAAGAAAGTTAGAGAAAGTTTAATTACACATCTATTTGGGTGTGACTTACGATAAACCAGGGCAGCCTCCATCAACAGAATGGAAAGAAGGATTCCTCCTGGGCAGTAGTAATTTTGCATGTTGGAAGGTAGGAGCATCGAGGTGGGGCCTGGTCAGTTAAGTTAGACTTCTTTAGGGTTACAGCAGGAGAGCTTCCTCATATCACCCACTCAGACTATAGTCTCCTGTTTTTGGGAAAAATTGTTAGGTTTTGGGACCATCTGCTTTAATGCTTGAGTTTATGAGGCATTTGGCCCCAGTATCCGTTCTTTGAGGGCTTAGTATAAGAACTTAGTTCAAACTGGTGGCCTTCCATAACTTTTTTTAACAAGTGCCACTGAGTTGAAGTAGGGGTTAAACTAGGGAGAGCAGGAAGTAGGCATGATACCACCTTCTAAGTTTGACTTCCTGGCTGTTTGGCCGTGTTTCCTCTCCCATAAAATGAACTCAGAGCGTATCCACCTAGCACAGACTGAGCAAGGCAGGGAGGGATGCCCTGCAAAGGCCTGGCTTGGTGGGAGTGCTTGAGATCCTGTTAGTTCATCTTTCTTCTTCCACATCAACAAGTTGGTAGTAGGCCAGTAATGTAAGCTGGCCCATTGAACAGTGGGATTATCTTTAATATGTCCTCATGTCAGAGGGCAGGCAGGTAGAAAAGCATGCAGGTCTCCTCTGATGTTTGAGCCAGAATGTCATTGTAATGCAGACTTGGAAGGGTTAAGTGTAGGAGCAGGACTTCTGGAGGCTGGGGTGAATCCCAGTTCATGCTCTCAAACCAGCCTTGAGTGGGCTGCTGGTGGTTGATCAGGCTGGCTATGCCTGTGTGGGAGCCCTAGTTGCCTGTATCAGCTGCTCACTAGTTTTGAGCTTTGGACATTGTTGGGTTGTCTGACAGATCAGTGAGCCTGGCCCTGGGTGCATGCCCTTGACTATCGTCAAGATCCTGGTGAGGTAAGACCTTGCAAAATAGCCTGACTCCTGCCACCCTCTCTCTGACTGCCTTTCAGAAAGACGATGCTCAACGATCTTCTGCGGTTTGATGTGAAGGACTGCTCCTGGTGCAGGTGGGTGGCCTCTGGGATCCAGGATTCCACCTGTCCTCCTGAAGAGCAGCACTGGGCCGGATTCACTGCATGATAGAGTCAGGTCATCATGGAGGGCCAGAGAGAAATGTAACAGATAAAGAGTCTCAGGTGGCTTCCCTCCATCTCATGGCTTTCTGTGAGAACGAGTATCCTAAATCCTGTGAACTAAGGGATGTGTTTGGTCTAGTTGGTGGTACAAAGATTTTGACTTGGGAGGGACTTTCAATCAACAGAATTTGTCCTGGGTCAGGAAGTGCTGTGGGATCTCGGATAGGGCATGGACAGGCCTACCTCATTAGTTTTCCCACAGTGCCATCTCAAGGCTGGCAGCAAGGTTTCTTGTCCCACTCTTCTCTCATAGGGATAGTTGTCTACCAGTAGATCCCACACAGGTATTGAGCATTATGCAAACTATGAACCACATCCTCAGCCATGTGTCCTTGGGCAGGAACTACCTGCCTTTTTTGGGTGCCATTTATTTGTGTTTCCTGTAGTGGTTCTGGTCTGGGAGCAGCTTACAGCTGATGGGAGACACAGACCTGAGGGTCAGCATGTACTGGGCTTGCTAGCTCCATCTTTTGCTCCCACAGGAGCACAGTGCCACACAGCCCCTGTGGTGCATGGGGTGGTGTCTCTTTTGACAGAGGAGGATGCAGGGTTTGGAGATCATATGACTGCCCTGGCCACTCAGCCAGGCAGGGCATCTCCACTGTGCACTGTTTTAGTGAGGGTTTCTTTGCTGTGACCAACACCGTGATCAAAAGTAACTTGGGCAGGAAAGTGTTTATTTCAGCTTGTACTTCATGTCATAGTCCATCACTGAAGGAAGTCAGGGTAGGAATTCAAGGCAAGTATCTGGAATCAGGAACTGAAGCAGAAGCCATGGAGGAATGCTGTTTACTGGCTTGCTTCTCTTGCTCAGCCTACTTTATTTCTTGTTTATGGTTTTTCAAGACAGGGTTTCTCTGTAGCCTTGTCTGTCTTGGACTCCCTTTGTAGACCAAGCTGGTCTTGGACTCAGACAGAGATCCTGCTGTGTCTATCTGAGTACAGCTGTGCACCACCATGCCTGGCTACTCAGCCTAATTTCTTATATCACTCAGAACCTGCCCAGGGGTGGCACCACCTATAATGGACTGGGGCCTCCCACATCAATCACTATATAAGAAAATGCCCATAGGCTTGCCTACAACCTGATATTATGGAGACATCTTCTCTGTTGTGTTTCCCTGTTCTTAGATAACTCTAGCTTGTGTCAGGTTGACAAAATAAACAAACAAGCGAAACCAACAAAACCTCACAACCTCTGACTGGTCTCCCTGGTAGCACTGGCATGGCAGCTTAAGGCATTTCTTTCACACTTGATCTTATCACAACTGCTGCCAGTTCTTTTTATTTCTTTTTTCTGTGCTGGATATAAAATTTAGGGATTGGTGCATGCTAGGCAAACACTGTACCTCCAAACTATAGCCCAGCAGTTTTTTTGTTTGTTTGTTTGTCTGTTTGTTTTTGAGACAGGGAGTCATGTATATCCCAGGCAGGCTTTGAACTTGCAGTGTAGATAAGGATGACCCTGACCTCTTATCCTCTTCCATTTACCACCTGAGTGCTGGTATTTGCTACCATGCCTGGTTTATGCAGTATTGGGTATCTAACTCAAGGTTTTGTCGAGGCAGGCTAGGCAAGCTTAGTGCAGACTAGCTCTTGACCAGTTGAGTTCCATTTCCAGGTCCAGTCCTCAGTTAATTTTAAGCATTACTTTGCCTGGCCAGTGAGATGGCTAAGCAGGTAAAGGCACTTGCCATGTAAGACTGGTGACTGGGTCCCATCCTCAGAACTTGAGTGAAGGAGAGAACCACCTCTACAGAGTTGGCCTCTCTCCTGAATATGTCCATAGTGGCACACACATGTATGTGCACACACACACAGTAACAAGCCAAAGTGAAAATCCCTTTGAAGACTTTGTTAGTTAAAAGTCGCTTCTCATGGTTTGCTCAGCCCACTTCATTTATTTATTTATTCATTCATTCATTCATTCATTTATTTATTTATTTTTATGGCTGGAGAGATGGCTCAGAGGTTAAGAACGCTGGCTGCTCTTCCAAAGGTCATGAGCTCAATTCCCAGCAACCACATGGTGGCTCACAACAGTCTATAATGAGATTTGCTGGCATACAGGTATACATGAAGACAGAACATTATATACATAATAAATAAATCTTAAAAAAAAAAAGGTGAACAAGCTAGTCAGTGATGGTGCACGCCTTTAGGGCATACCTTTAAGGCAGAGGCAGATAGGTCTCTGATGAGTTTGATAACAGCTGTTATACAGAGAAACCCTGTCTTGAAAAAAACAACAAAGAAAAATTCCTAACACTGCAAAAATTCACATATAGTCAGGTATGGCAGACACTTAACATTCTAGTTTTGAGAGGCAAGCAGGAGCCTCGCAGATCTGAGACTAGCTTTGGTTACATACCAAGTCCCTCTCAAACAACAAGCAAAAATAAATTAAGTTGAGCAGAGTGGTGTATGCTCACAGACCCAGCATCCTGAGACCAGGATCAAGTCAAATTCTGGTATCTACTTGAAAAAGCAAATTGTAAAATACCTTCAAATGATTTCATTAAAAAACAAAACAAAAGCCTGCAGCTAGGCATCACCAGTGGCTCTCACCTTTAAAGCCAGCACACAGGCAGGGCTCTGTGATCTGAGTCTATCCTGGTCTACATAGTAACTTCTAGTCCAGCCAGGATTACATAGTAAGATCCTATTTAAGGGAAAAAACAAAAAACCGGCCATGGTAGCCTTTTAATCCCAGTACTTGGGAAGCAGAGGCAGGTGGGTTTCTTGAGGCCAGCCTGTGTGTTTCAGGACAATCAGAGCTACATAGATCCTGTCTCAAAAACAGCAAAACAAAAAAATTGCATGAGAGGCCTCTTGGAGGTGTGCAGTAGAAAAGCTCAGAGCAGGGCCTCCCTCCAGGCAGAATATGCAAGCCTGTTAATGTCCGTTCCGTTGGTTTTCTCCTGACTTGATGTTTTGAAGGGTTCTATGAGAGAAGCAACACCCTTGAAATACAGAAGTAAAACAAAGCTGGGGCACTGGCATACATCTCATCTCTTGGGGGGTACTAAGGTGAAAGATTGCTTGGGTACCATAGTGAGAACCTGTGTGAAAGAATTAACAAATTACTGTAGTCATGGGGATGCCTCCCTCTAATTCCAGGGTTCAGGACACTGTGATAGAAGGATGATAAATCTGAGGCCAACCTGGACTACATAGCAGAGTGGGTTACATGCTAGCCTTTGCTTCTTAGAGCAACACCATAGCTTGAAAAGAAAAGGAGAGGGAGGCAGGAAGAAGAAAGAGGAAGGAGGTGGGAAAGGAAGGGAGAAAGGCAAAACAGCATGGAGGTATCAAAGGCTATAGGGCTTGGACTGCCTGTTTGACCCCTCACTGACCTCACCCTGTGCCTCTTCCAGAGCCTTCACCACGGGCACCCCTCCAGCCCCTCGTTACCACCACTCAGCTGTTGTCTATGGGAGCAGCATGTTCGTCTTTGGTAAGCAGCCTGTTGCCCTCCTGGATCCTCAGACTTCTTGCCTCCCACCCCCTCCCCCCTCTATGAGGCTCTGAGCAGTGCTGGGTTCTCTTCCCAACTAACTGTCCACTGGAGCCCTCTGAAGGGACTGGCTGTGTCCTCTCTGAAGGCTAGACCAAGAGACATCAGTGTACATATCTCTGTATCCCCAGGGCCCAGTGCAAGGTTAATTTGAATGGGCAGGTACGGGGGGGGGGGGGTGTGTTTATACACGTTAACTAGGGCCACCACATTTCTACCCAGCCCAGCCCACATTTAAATACTAAAGTAGTACCCTAGAGCTAACACTTTACTTTCATTCTTTTCACCCAGGGGGCTATACTGGAGATATTTATTCCAATTCTAACTTGAAGAATAAAAATGACCTCTTTGAATACAAGTTTGCAACTGGTCAGTGGACAGAGTGGAAAATTGAAGGGCGGTAAGAGATTTTGCTGAGAACATTTACAGTAAGAGAGGCCTGATGGTCTTCAGCCTGGAATGTGCCTCTTGCCATATTTTACACGGGAGCCTATGTCTGGGAGACTTTCATCAATTGCTTAATTTTCATCATTGCTGAGTCCACTGGGCTGTGTTTAGGCAGGGTGTTTGCAGCAGTCAGGAAGCCAGAAATTGATGCTAAGTTCTCATTGCCACAGCCAGTTCCCGGGTTTGCTTCTATGGGCTGCTTTGTGAGTACACTCTTCAGCATTCCCATAGTTGCTGGGAAGGTGTTGTACCTGAGTGAATTAAACAGAATCCTTTTTTTTTTTTTTTTTTTTTTTTGGATCACCAGATTTTGTGGTTGTATTTTGTTTTATTTATTTTCTCAGCACTTGGGATGGAGCTGAAGGCCTTGCTGGTACAGGCAAATTCTCTACCATTAAGCCGTACCCCAGGCCTACATTTGATTCTCCCCACCTCCCCATCTTTGAGGCAGGATCTCATGTAGGCTAGGCTAGCACTGAACCTGTTGTAAATAGCTGTGGATGACTTTGAACTCCTGTCCATGACCTGAGTGCTGGGGTTACAGGTGTACCAAACCATGCCTGTTTTTGTTTTTGTTTTTGTTTTGTGGTGTTGGCAAGCAGTCAAACCCAGGGCTTCTTGTATGGTAGGAAAGTAGCCTGCAAAGAGCCACATTCTTGCCCCTAGGGAGTTTTTATTTTTTTGTCTTTGTGTGTTTCTTGTTTGTTTCGAGTCAGAGTCTCGTGGTCTTGAATTTCTTCCTCCATTCATCTCCCTAGTGCCCAGAATTATAGACATGTACCGTTATGCTTAGTTTCAACTTCTGAACTTTTTTTCATATCTGCTGCCCACGCCTCTTGTGCTGCTGTTTGCTTCTAGTGCCTCAGCACTACCCTCTAAGCTCAGTTGTCAGGTAGATGTATCCCTAGCTCCTGAACACATGACACATGGAGCCCTGTGCTTCAGCCTGTTCTGATGACCACTTTCCTCATTAAAAAAAAAAAAGAAAAAAATATATTTAAAAATATGTGTATGAAATACACACATATATTTATATACGTGTATGTGTTTGAAAAAAAATTTTTTTAATCGTGTTTGAGTGCTTTGCTGGCATGTATGTCTGCATTGCCACATGGATGCCTGGTGCCTGAGTACAGCAGAGGAGGGCATCAGATCCCTGGTATTGGAGTTACAGGGATGGTCGTGAGCTGCCACACAGGTACTGGAAATTGAACCTGGGCATTTTGAAGAATAGCCTGTGATCTTTGGTGGTGAGACTTCTTTTCCTGCATTCTTCATTTTTTCCCTTGTGTTCTAGGTTGCCGGTTGCCAGGTCAGCTCATGGGGCCACAGTGTACAGTGACAAACTCTGGATCTTTGCTGGCTATGATGGCAATGCCAGGTGGGCGAATAGCTGGCCCTGTGCCCTGCCTCTGCATGTCCTCAGGGGCAGAATACACTCTCTTGGCAGCTGGGTGCTCATGGGGTTAGTCACCCTGCTAGGTTCCGAGTTTCTCTGGAAGGCGTGGAGCCTTTGGAAAGGAGCTCCCAGCCATGTTTGTGATTCTTGGGTTTTCTCCGATGAGGATATTCGGAACAGCAAGAGGGGTCTGGAGGCAGGAAGCATCTCCACTCAAGTACAGCTCTGGGTTGCTCCCTGTGTTACAGTTTTCTCCTTATTTACTTATTGTTTTATGTTTTGCTTTTGTTTTAAGACAAAGTCTCTATGTAGCCCTGGCTGTCCTGGAACGCTCTGTGTAGATGTGGCTTGCTTCAGACTGACAGAGATCCTCCTGCCTCTGCTTCCTGAGTGCTGGGATTAAAGGTGTGGGCCTCCAAGCCAGGCTTCCTCATTTTAGAAAAATAATTTTGTTGTATTTGTGTAAGAACCACAGCAGCACATGCTCATTTTAAACTTGAACATTGCAGAAACTAAGAAAGGCATAGTAGGGCAGTGGGTTTTATGAGATCTGCTGGGGCCGGGTGCAGGGATTTGATCTGCCACCTTCTTCCCCTGAACTTCCTGTCTCTTCAAGAAAGACGGCACAGGTTCCTCTGACCCACATGGCAAGTGGTTCTTCCCTGGAGCTATCCCTCCCAGCCAGGCTCAGCATCCTGACTCCTCTGTCCTGATGCAGGTTGAACGACATGTGGACAGTTGGCCTCCAGGACCGAGAGCTCACATGCTGGGAGGAGGTGAGGGGTGTAGGGAGCATGGTACAGGTGGGAAGTCGGGTCATGGGGGGCTGGGTCATAGCATCGAGAGGTGAGGAATGAAGGAAGCAGGTAAGCAAGTGAGGAGGTATAACAGAAGCTATCTTCCCCTTACCAAGGCTTAGCCCCTTTCCCTCCTTGACCTTCCCCAAGCCCAATTCTGTTATTAACTAGAGACTCCAGCTGGGCTGGGAATGTGGCCTGATTGGTAAGAGAGCATGCTTGAAGCTCTGGATTTGATCCCAGACCCACATACGCTGGGTGTGGAGGTGCATGCCTGTAATTCCAGCACTTGGGAGGTGGGTCAGAAATTCAAGGTGATCCTTGGCTACAGAGTGAGTTTGAAGTCACCCTGGGCTACATAGAGAGTTCTAGGTTAGCCAGATCTGCACAGTGAGACCCTCTCCAAAATGAATGAATGAATGAATGAAAAAAGGTAATAGCATAGCATCTACACATCCCTGCCTTTGATCCCTAGCAATGAAAGCAGAGTCAGAGGAAGAAAAAAGCTCCGAGTCCTGGAAGGGCAGAGTGCCGCATGTGGCAAATGTGGCTTGTTCCAGTCAGTCCTCGTGTGAACGCAGCAAGGGCAACATTTTGTTCATTGCTTTTCCTGGAGCTTTCTTTCTCTTGTAGTAACTATGTTTTTAGCCCCGAATGAAGCTAATGATTTTAGCCTCAGCTGATCAGAACTGGGCCCATGTGGGTTGCTGTGATGTAAGCTCTTTGTATTCATTCATTTCCAAGTGTAGAATAGTGTAGCCTCAGGCTTTTGAGGCCCTGGCTGAGTTGTGCCCCTACCCCAGGTGGCCCAGAGTGGTGAGATCCCCCCATCCTGCTGCAACTTCCCTGTGGCTGTGTGCCAGGATAAGATGTTCGTGTTCTCAGGACAGAGTGGAGCCAAGATAACAAACAACCTCTTCCAGTTTGAATTCAAGGACAAGACGTGAGTTCTCGGGGTTTAGAGACACACTTATGCCTGTGCATGGTAATTTGTGAGCCTTTCCTAGTTCCCACTCACAGCAGGAGCAGACATCCCAGTATTTGGCACCTGCAAGGGTTCTTGAGTTATGGCTGTAGCTCAGCAAGACATGGCCTGAGTGTGAAGGATACCCCTGCCCTGTGTATGGCTTGCTCATTGCCACTGCTAACACATGTGCCACTGCCAACCAATGTCATGTGATAGCAGAACACAGGCAAGTAAAGTAGTTCTTCTGGCTGCTGGCTACCTTATAGTGGGGCTAGCCTCTGGCATTGGAAGTAACAGAGGAAAGGGAATAGGCCTTGGGAGGGGGCTCAAGAGCTGCCCCACAGGTCACGGTAGAAAAATGAAATCCTAGGTGGAGGGAATTAAGTACTGGGGCAGGCATGAAACCAAATGGGATAGCTTTCGTTGTTTTCAGTCTTCAGCTAACTTAGCAGAAAAGGGGATCTGATAGAAGGTCCTGGGAGCCCTCAAATGGCAGAAGTACTAGAGGTGCCTGGGCAACCTTCTTCCGGGTGGGGACTCTACAGTTTGGGCAGTGAGCAGGGCAGCTCCATTCCTAGAGCAGACTAATAGAGGCTCCGCCCTATCACTGTCGTCTGCTCTATGGTGATGGGAGGAAAGGGAGTTGGTTAGGGCCCCATGGTAGGTTGCATGGAGCCAGTTCCTGAGCTAAACAGGTCAAGGGATGCTGGATACACAGGCCTGTGTCTTCCCCTTAGACCATGGGCTAGCACTACCAGGGAGGCTTCATAGGAGGACCTTTTGTGAGGAGTGTGTGGAGAGTAGAGCCTCCACCCCAGTGTTGCTCATGCATGGTCTTGGCCCTAGGTGGACACGCATCCCTACTGAGCACCTGCTCCGGGGCTCCCCACCCCCGCCACAGCGGCGCTATGGACACACCATGGTGGCCTTTGACCGCCATCTCTATGTGTTTGGGGGTGCGGCGGACAATACACTGCCCAATGAGCTACACTGCTACGATGTGGACTTCCAGACCTGGGAGGTTGTCCAGCCCAGCTCTGACAGTGAGGTGAGTCCTGCTCTGAGTTCCCTGGGTTCCATATAGCCAAGAAGAGAACCCTCAAGGCCCGCCCTTCTACAGCCTTCAGTTTTTCATGCCTGTATTCCATCTTGTAGTACTGGGATGCTGTCCTGAAGGCCCCTGGGAAGCATTCTGACCACCCTCATGGCCTTACTCAATGTCTTGGTCCTCCTCTGGAACCCATAGCAAGCCCTGGAAGGGATGGTGGTGTATTACCCTCTTATGTATGTTTTTTACAAGGTTGGTGGGGCTGAGGTGCCTGAGCGAGCTTCCTCTTCTGAGGAGGCGGCTACCCTAACCTCAGAGGAGCGGAGCAGCTTTAAGAAGTCCAGAGATGTGTTTGGCTTAGACTTCGGCACTACCTCAGCCAAGCAGCCTGTCCACCTGGCATCAGAGGTGCGTGTCAGGACCCTTATTAAAATTCCAGTGCTCTCAGAAGCAGGAACTCTCCCAGTTGGGTGGAGCTTGCTCTGGGAGTCCTAGGTTTTATCCTTTACAGTCACTGTGGCACTCTGTTTCCCTGGGGTTCTGCACAATCGCCATGCCCTCTGACCCACCCCATAAGCCCCAGCTTCCAAATCTGCACCTGCAGGAGCACCCAGGCAACCTCTGTCCGAGGGCCTGGGATCTCTGGCTTTTCCTCTTTGTCCACAGCTTGGCCACAGCTAGATCCAGTGTGGGAGGCTCTGCCCCATCCCATCACTTTGTCTACTTGTCCTTCTCAGCTGCCCAGTGGGAGGCTCTTCCATGCAGCTGCTGTCATCTCTGATGCCATGTACATCTTTGGGGGCACTGTGGACAACAACATTCGCAGTGGGGAAATGTACAGGTTCCAGGTGTGTGGCTAGTGGTTCTGTGGGGCCTGCTGGGGTAAATGGGTCCCAGGGAGGCAACTAAGGCCCAGTGGGCAGGGTTAGGGCTGCATAAGGCTGGTGGGGAGGGCTGGCGTGCTGTAGGTCCAGGTAGGCAGAGAAGAGACTAGGAGTAAGGGAGCCTTAATACACAGTGAGGCAAGCAGAGCCTCAGCCTCAAGAGAAGAGTGGCAGGTGAGCTCACAGGACCAGCGAATGAGTGGACCAATCCGGGCTCAATGCTGGGGCCTCCAGGGAAATCATAGCAGCTCCTTCCCAAACCTGGAGAAACCGAGAACCCGTTGTTTAGGACAGGGGCCCTTGGCATAGTGGAGGCATGGATAAATCTATTTCAATGGTGGGTAGGGGTAGGATGGGGGTTGCCTGAATTTTTGGGTCCAGGTTTATTAGAAATGGTGCAGTCTGCCTAAAGCCTGGGAGCCTCTGTCAGAGAAAAACAGTGGAAGTGGGAGGCTTTCCTGGTCATTGCCCGGGCCGGACAATCCTCAGCCAGGCTCACCTGACTCCTCAGTATCCTAGAGCTGGCTGGCCTCAGGATGGCTTTTGTTGCGTGCTTACTGGTCCTCCCTCTGCAGTTCTCTTGCTACCCTAAGTGCACACTGCATGAAGATTATGGGCGCCTATGGGAGAGCCACCAGTTCTGTGATGTGGAGTTTGTGCTTGGTGAGGTAGGTGACTGACCTACATCAGCCTCACCTACTATATCTGCTGAGTTGGCTTTGCCCTGGCCTGCTGGCCTCTGTCCCCCTTTGCCCACATATTATTCATTCTTTATGCAGAAGGAAGAGTGTGTGCAGGGTCATGTTGCCATAGTCACTGCACGGAGCCGCTGGCTCCGTAGGAAGATTGTGCAGGCTCGAGAGTGGCTGGCCCAGGTAAGGTCTCCTTTAGCCCCTGTGACTGGAAATCTTTGCCCACTGTCTACTAGGGTGCCCTGAGCTCCATTTTCCCCACAGAAGCTGGAGGAAGATGGGGCCCTTGCTCCCAGGGAAGCCCCTGGTTCAGCTGTGGGCAGGGCACGGCCAACCCTGTTACGTGTTGCCATTCGTGAGGCTGAGGCCCGGCCATTTGAGGTGCTCATGCAGTTTCTCTACACAGACAAGATCAAGTACCCACGGAAAGGTCTGCCTGGGTTATGGGTGGTATGGACCAGGGTGGGTGGGGCTTGAGCCAGCTGAGCCAGACTAGAGGTGGTGCTCCTCGGTCTGTGACAGATGTGCCTGAGGCACGAGTCAGTCACCCTTGCTGATAGCAGTTCGCATGCAGTGCAGCTGCCATCCTACAGCCCTGACCCTCTTGTTCGTGGGTGGAGCTCTGGGCCGTGTTCGGGGTCTCCTTTCCTGGGGTCCCTAGGCTCAGGAGCTTTTTGGTGCAGGCCATGTAGAAGACGTGCTGCTCATCATGGATGTATACAAGTTGGCACTAAGCTTCCAGCTGTGTCGCCTTGAGCAACTGTGTCGGCAGTACATTGAAGCCTCTGTGGATCTGCAAAATGTGCTGGTTGTATGTGAGAGTGCCGCCAAGCTACAGCTGGGCCAGCTCAAGGTACAAGCTGGGGTTTGCCTGGAGTGCCTGCCAGCTCAGGCCTTCTTGGGTGGGGTGGGACATGTTCCTTTGCTCCCCACTACAAGCTCTGTTGTCCAGCCTAGGCCTGACCGCACTTGGCTGCTGTGCCTTGTCTGTCCAGGAACACTGCCTGAACTTCATAGTGAAGGAGTCCCACTTCAATCAGGTGATCATGATGAAGGAGTTTGAGCGCCTCTCATCCCCACTGATTGTGGAGATTGTGCGGCGGAAGCAGCAGCCACCCCCTCGAGCACCCTCTGATCAGCCTGTGGACATTGGTAGGGAAGTTCTCTTCATGTCCTGGGAAGTGGTGTTGGGAGACTTAGGAACCACCTATCTGCCAGGCCCTGTGTGACCCACCCAGGCGCTCCTGGACAATGGTACTGGGAGGGACAGAGGCAGGCATGGCTCAGAGAACTCAAGGTCCCAGTGAGCCTGGTTACCCATGAAACCCACTCCTCAGGGTGACCTGGCTCTGCTTGGCTGGTCAGGTCTGATATTTTGGGGTCCAATGAGGCAGCTGTAGCTGCTTATCACTGGGTACTTGTCGTTCTGCCCAGTGGAGAAGACTGATAGCACATTCACTTCCCCAACTCTCTTTGGGGCTTGTACTGATTCCTGCCACTGCTATGAGAGGCCAAAAGGTGCGCCTTGGAGAGGTATCCAGCAGGAGTGGGTGCTGGACAGAGGGCACTGTGGGAGATCAGGTATTGGTGCTGTGTCTGTGGGGGCCAGATCAGCAGTTTCCAGGTGAATGAACTGAGGATTGAGGGAAGGAGAGGCTACACAGAAAACAAGGTAGCCTCTTCATTCAGGGTGGAAGGAGGAGTCCTCTCAAGATCCTTCTACACCCCCCAGGCACGTCTTTGATCCAGGACATGAAGGCCTACCTGGAGGGGGCAGGCTCAGAGTTCTGTGACATCACACTACTGCTAGATGGCCACCCACGGCCAGCCCACAAAGCCATCCTAGCTGCCCGCTCTAGGTGTGTTGAGGGCTGATGAGGGAGGGTGGGGCAGGCCTTGATGCTGACCTTTTTTTTCCTGAGAGCTGGGATCTACTTCCCTGTTTGCAGCTACTTTGAGGCCATGTTCCGTTCATTCATGCCGGAGGATGGGCAGGTGAACATCTCCATTGGAGAGATGGTGCCCAGCAGACAGGCCTTTGAGTCCATGCTACGCTACATCTACTATGGCGAGGTCAACATGCCCCCTGAGGACTCGCTGCATCCTTTTACCTGTTCGTGCTTCAGGGGAGCCACTGAGGAGTCTTAGACATGTTTGATTGCTGTCGTGTTGGCTGGGTGGTCTAATTCTAGAGTGTCCAGTGCTGGTGCTGGGACTGGACTATTAGTCTCCAAAGGCTCCAAGCAGGTGGGCACCTAGAGGAGCTACTTGGTAACTAGTACAGTTGAGTCTTGAGCTTTACAACTCCCTGGGACAAGCAGGCTAATTATCACTGTTTAACAAACAGGGGAGTAGACAGTGATGCCTTGTGCTTTCTGTCAGTAGTGTTTAAACCTGAGGTGCAGGTACATGATAGGGCCAGAGGGCTTGGAAAAATTCTGTGAATGTGTACATGGGAATGAGAGGATTCACATTTCCCTGGATCTCTAATTGGCCCTTTGAGCCTGAAATGGTTCAGAACCAGTTTAGAGAGCAACCCAGCTGGACTTGGTCTGGAACTCTGTTCTGGCAGTACCCTCCCCAGAGGACAAGGGTTGTGGCAGGATGAGTGCATGCAGGTGAATACATGTCCACTGACTGGGCAGCTCCTTAACTTGTATCCAGCTACCTGTTTGCAGCCCCCTACTACTACGGCTTCTACAACAACCGACTGCAGGCCTACTGCAAGCAGAACCTGGAGATGAATGTAACGGTGCAGAATGTGTTACAGGTAGTGCCTTAGTACTTCCAGGCCACTCCTTCCTCGGGTGAGGTGGGCAGTGCCTCATGGTTCCTGCCATTGCAGATTTTGGAGGCGGCTGACAAGACACAGGCGCTGGACATGAAGCGACACTGCTTGCACATCATTGTACACCAGTTCACCAAGGTCAGGCTCTGGCCCCAGTATTCTAGGTCCTAGCCCTCCCCAGCAGGCCTGGGCACCTCTTGGCAATTGCCCACTGTCCTCAGACAGCCAAGCCCTACGTAGGCTGGACCCCAAGACTCAGCTGCCCACCTTGGTCCTCCTGGGAGTCTGGTTTCATCTGGTTTTGGTCATTTGTGCAGGTTTCTAAGCTGCCAACACTGCGGTTGCTGAGCCAGCAGCTGCTGCTGGACATCATAGACTCCCTGGCCTCCCACATCTCGGACAAGCAGTGTGCAGAGCTGGGCGCTGACATCTGAGGGTCTCGGCTACCTGTCTGCAGAGTGACGACACCTAACCGATTGGCCACATCTCTACCTGTGGAGTGACCACACCTGTGGGGTCAAGGGTCCTCAGCTTCTACAGGGGACTGAGGTGTATAAGAACTCCCAAAACTTCATTGAGGACACAGGCCCCATGGGGAATGGCAAGTGAAGCAGACTGTTTCCAGCTGGCACCTCTCCCAAGGAGACCATGGTTCGGGGATATCACTGAACAGTAGAGAGACAGGAGAGTGAGTGGCTCTGTGCTAGTGTTGTGGATCTAGCATAGAATCCTGCTGTCAGGGGATGAGGGCTTGCAGGTTATGCTAGCAATAGGATATACTCCATTCCTTACCCAGAAGTTATGAGTAGGAACTAGTGACAGTGGGCTGATCCTACAAATGAACTTTGGAAGGTTATGTTCCCAGTCTATGGGGCAGCAAGCATAGCTTAGCCCCCTACCCCAGAGAGGCTGCATGTTCTGGCCCACCCAATGTGCATATTTGGGCCAGGGAGAAGTCAGCAGAGATGATCCTATGTTTGTGTTCTGTGACAGACATGCCTCCATTACAGCTGTGGCAATGCTACTTACACATTTGGCTGGCATAGTTGCCACAACTACTGGTCTGTCCTTCTGTAGCAACATGACAGTTCCATGGTTTAGGACATTCCCCAGATTTGGGTTTAGCACTTATTCCCTGTTCTAACCATGTTAACACATGGTGTCAGCTAGATGGAAGGGAAATTGCATGCCTCAGAGCTCTGGGCTGTCCAGGGTATCCATCCTTGATACCTGACCATGAACATCTACATCTCAACAGCACAGTAGACCTTTTGAGTACAGAAACCTACACTATGTCTTGTTTCCTAGAAAACCAGACCTCATTTTGGAGAAATGCTTGGTTCTTCCTGGCTTTAGAACACACATTGCTCCTGTGCTCCATTCACCCATGCTACAGGGCTCCAGGCAGAAAGGTGACCTGGGGGGGCAGTCCCAGCCAGCCAGCCAGGAAGTGGTCTGGTTACAAGATGTGCTGGAAGAGAGGAAGGTGCCCAACACAAGCTGAGCTCAGAAACAGCTGAGTGGAGGGTGCCGTGCCGGCTTGGTGGGCAGCCAGGCAGGCAGGATGTGGGCCAGCTGTGCTGTGAGCCATTCCCCAAGGTGGCCTTATCTAAACCTCTTGGGGGAACACGTGGAAGCTTTGGTCTGCAGATCTTGCTTCATGCTAACTCCTGTAATTGGCCCTTCAGTTCTCTCCTCTACATAGGAGGTGAATAAATATATACACCCAGGGCTCCAAAAAAAACCTTTGAGATCCTTGTGTACTAACTACAGCTAGAAACTCAATGGTGCTTGAGCTGTGTGGCCAAGGAACAGTAGGGAAAAGGGCATGTACTTGGTGATTACTATGGACACAGCTATAGTAAGAAGCCTAGGTTCCCAAGATAAACATAGTACCAAGCCTGACTGGAATGCTACATCCTAAGACTAGCATTTCTCTAGGCATGGCCTTGCAACCTTCAAGTGTAATATCCTATGTTGGTTTTGTGAGCAATGGGGCCAGGAGTGGGCAATGCAAAGGAACTGGCCTATGGACTGACATCTGATACTGGGCATGACAGCATTTGTGATTCTACCCAGAAGGCACTAAAGCAGGATTAGGAGCTCAAGGACACCTCTGGCTACAAAAACAGCAGCCTGGACTACATGAAACCGTAACTCAAAAAGGAGGGAGAGGGGACAGTTACACTCAGGAGTTGGCTTTCTTACCTCAGAACTTGAAAGAGTAACTAAACAGAGGGTCTGCAGAAAAAAAAAAAAATTTCCAAGGACAAAGAGGTTGTGCAACAGGGTCTGAGCCCTGTGGGGCTCTAGCCACTGCCCAGGGAGGAGCAGCACCCCTAGCTGAGCCAGACAGCAGGGTCTCTTTGTAGAATCCACTTTATTGTGGTATCTGGCCAGCCTGGTGGCTGCAGTTCCATGAAGCGCCTCTTGAGGTAGAGAGGCCAGAGACTTGGTGTGTCACTCTTATGCCATGCTGCTGCTGAGTTGCATAGCAAAGTCCTGTACATGGTCCTTTAGGGTCTGGCGGGCATCTGCCTGTGCTCGCTTCTCCCGTGCCCGTTCCTGCTGTAGCTTGGTCAGTCGCAGCCTAAGTCGCTGCTCCCGCCGCTTGCAGGCCTGCAGCTGGCGCTGGGCCTTGTCCAAAGCATCAAGAGCAGCTTCAGCTCTTCTCTTCCAGAGCAAGGCACTCCCCACTTGGTAGCTGTGCTCATTCTGGATGTAGGCTCCAGCAGGTGGTGGCAGCCGTAACATGTATGCAGATGGGGAGACAGGCCGAGGCTCAAGTGGGGAGGGGTGCTGCTCTGGTGACGGCTGGGCACTACAACCTGCTTCATCTGCTTGAGCACCTAGAGGGCCCAGAAGATCAGAGAAGGGGCTGTTAAGGCCAGGGTCCAGCCTCACAGTTGGAGATGCAGGCAGAGTGGCAGGTGCTGAGGCTTCTTCCACAGGAAAGCAGATGATGTCAGCAGGAGGAGGTGGAGAAAATGGTGTTGTGGCTCCTTGATTTTCAGAGCAGCTGGAGGGGAGACAGAAAGAAGCTGACTAGCCAACTAAGGGCATGCCAGGCTCTTCTCATAAGCCCATTTAGTCTCCCTAACATCTGAGCCCCCTTCACTGGGTCTAGGCAGCAAGAACCCTGTTCAGTGAAGACACTGGCATTCACCCTACAGTCCAGTCCCTCAGCCCGGGGATGAAAGTGGGGCATCCCCCTTACTGCAGCACATACCGCTTCCTGCATCGCCGGAGCCGGCTGACATCAGGCAGGCCAGGTGGATAACCATGCCCCTTGTTCTTGGCTGTTCGACGCAACTTGGTGAAAGACTCAAATATGGTGGGGACTGCCCCTTCCTTCAGCCTGTGATACCCACTGTGGGGAAAAGCAGCCCAGATGAGCTGGGGAAAGTGCTGCCATTTCCCCTGGAATCCCAGCGGAGGTCCCTCAGCTGGAGGCTGCAAGGCACACTGCCAGCAATAGATCTGAAGAATGGCAAGTTTGGTAAAAATCAAACACATCTTTCCTGTGAAGGAGCTTCTAGAGTTCGGTCCACCAGCAGGGATAGGTGGACCAGTCAAAAAAATAATAATTCTCATTTGTGCACCTGCTGGGAGAACAAGGTGCTAAACGTCCCATGGAAAAGCTGTTTCTCTTGTGTAGAGGCCAGAGGGTAACCTCAGGGGTCTCCCTTGATCACTCTCCACATTTGTTTTTAAAAGATGTAGAGAGGTATTCTGCCTGTATGTATGACTTTTCACCGTGCATGCCTGGTGCCCACAGGTCAGAAAAGGGCATTGGATCACCTGGAACTAGAGTTTACTGACTGTTGTAAGCCACTCTGGATGGGAAGAAGTGAACCCAGGTCAGCTGAAGGCGCAGTAGTGCTCTTACCTTCTAAGCCAGCACTATTTATGTGTATGGATGTTTTGCCTGCACGTAGGTATGTGTATCCACCTGTGTGCCCATGCCCTCAGAGGCAGGAAGAAGGCAAGGGCTCCCTTGGGTGTTGGGAGCTGAACCAGTCCTCTGTAAGATTAAACAAGTGCTCTAAACTTTTAAGCTATCTTGCTAGCCCATCCGCCTTTACTTTTACTTTTTAAAGACAGCTCCTCACTGGACACAGGGCTCAACAAGTACACTAGCTTGTCAGTAAGCCCCAGGGATCCTTTTGAATTCTCCGGGACTGGCAATCACATGTGGCTTTTTATCTGCGTACTTGACTCTGAACTCAGGTCCTCAGGCCTGCATACCAAGAGTTTACCAAAAGGGGGGGGGTATCTCTCCAGCCCAGAAAGGCTGTTTTTCTCTGATGTCACCAGCACGGTGATCCTGGGACCACGCTTTATTGTTCAGAACTGGAACGGGGCAAAAGCATCCTTGACAGTAGGTCTGCCTGTGAGCATGCCAGGCAGGTGTTCACGGAATTCACGAGGGCCAAGAACTGCCCCACCTGACCCACTACTCTGATGCCTCCCTCACAACTTGGCGTTGGCTAGCAGAAAGACCCACCTGATTCCCACCAGCTCAAAGCAGTTTTCCTCGAAGTGTTTGGAGCAGAAGTAGATGTACTCGGAGGCCGGATCCCATAGGCCTTGGCCGCTGGGGTCCAGCCGCTGACAGTTGGCCAGCCACAAGCCACGCCTGGGGTTGTCTTTCTTGGGAAGTCTGCAGAGCCACAAATCCGTGAGCGACAGACCGTTTGCAGCCCTGGGTTCAGGATGCCCAAGCGTCCCAGGCAGGAAGGAGCAGACCTCCCCGATACCCTTTCGGATTACTACCCACTAGGGGAAAAGAGGAAACTGCGGACGAGAGAAGGAACGGAGCCTCCTCGGCATCATCTACCAGGTATGGCTGGACTCGAGACTACTCGACCGCCCTTTACACCCTCCCGCTCCCAAGTTCAAGCCTCACTCCCACCTCAGGAAGGCGCCGGCTCCTGCGCGGCCTAAGGTGTGGCAACACCCGCGCCTGCGCTGCTGAGCCCTCGTGTACGCAAGCGCGCTGACCTGTGGAAGGAGATGCCGCGGTTGCGAGTCTCGCGCGTGTCACGTGTGCAGCAGCCGGCGGCGGAGCAGTGTCGCGGCATCTGGGAAAGGGGCGGGATCTGGGTCGTGGGCGGCGGTCGGGGGAGGACTGTCTTTACGCCCCGGCCGTCACTCCCTCCAGAGGCCTCGGGCCTGTCGGCTCCCCCGCGGCCCTACGCCGTCCCCGTCCCGTCCTAACTCGTTCTATAGTCTCCCGTCAGCAGTACTCACGGTCTTGCCATTGCTGCGCCGCCGAAGTCTCGCGATGGGTGGGTCAACGCGGAGGTTGGTAGCACCGAGACTCCGTAGCCGGTGGCGACTGCCCACAAGGGGCGGGACCGGAAGAGGCCTGGCGGGCGGGCCACCGGATGTTGGGAGTGCGGCGAGGTCCTCGCCTCGAGTTGTGATTTCTGGAGCCGTGGGGTGGCTCCGTAGCTTTGTTTGCGTATCAAAGGTAAAACTGCCGAGCGCCCGGCGTGGGACGAAGCAGCCCGGATGCGGTGTGTGGTACTACAAGAACGTCGTAAGCGGACACTGTGGTTGAGAAAGATCTACCACCAAGAAAAACCTGGGCTCTTGCTTGAAAGAAACCCGTCCAGGGCTGCGGGGTGGCTCAGCACTTCCTGCCAACCCTGAGGAACCCAGTTTGATCCCCGGGACCCACGTGGTGGAAGGAGAGAACCAACGCCCAGTAGTTGTCCTCTGACCTCCATAAATGGCACATATATATACACAAAATAAAATGTAAAGACAAAAACAGCCTTAGGGTAACGGAATTAACTGCATAAGAAGAGGGCCCGCAAACAAAGACCCTTCGCCTTCCCACCGCCAAGAAGTTGAATGCCAGGGTCTGAGCCCACTGGGATTTTGACGCTGTCCCAGGAGAAACCTGGGCATTCCCAGCGGGGCCACACAAGGGAGGATCTCTTTCTAGCATTTATCTTATTGTGACATCTGGCAGTCCTGGTGGGTCCATTTTAGATCAAGTTATTTAAATCAAGACCAGTGCTAAGAATTTACTCCCATACCTGGAAGTAGGTAGAGCATGCCGAGTGCATTCTGGCTACATGCAATGAATAAGGATGCTTACATTCGCCAGCCGTGGTGGAAAGCCAATGGAGAAATGACATGTGAAAAACTGGGTTTCTATAGCCCTTGAATGAAGCCCCAGCTACACTCTGTCCCAGCCTTCTCACAGGACAGGGTGACAAGCTACTTCCAGGCAATTCATGCGTGGTTCGAGGGAAAATAACGTGTGGTGTCATAATTCCCTTATCTACTTAGAAGCTTTTAGCAGCATAGAGCCAAGCCCATTAAAGTCTTAGAAAAACACACGTATTTCCCCTAGAGGAATTCACTAATTAGTTAACTGGCCCTTGCAAGAAAGGTGGTTATCGAGACCGGGAATTTTGTTTAAAAAACAAAAAAACACAGCACACAGTGAAAGTAATGCTTTCGTACAGAAACTACTAAGTAAAAGCTTCCAGTAATGTTAACGGTGGGGAGGAGATAAGGGAGGATTGCCAGGCACACAGCTGCACTTTGTGTTCTTCCCCTTCTTCAGCCTCTGACTCTGGAAAATCCACCGCCACCAGGTCCTCCCAGGCCTCAGAGACCACTCTTCTCCATTCCTCCTATCACCACTTACAGTGCAGAAAGGCCTCTCTGGCATCAGTGAGGTTGAACTTGTGATCTAGGTGAGCCTGGGTCTCTTCAGTGGCA